TAGAGAATCCAGGCTGTTTGGCCCAGTTTTTCCTTCTCAATAGTTTTAAATCCGCGAAACTTGACCAATGGGGCCTGGTTCCTGGGCTGACGGAGGAACTACATTTCCCAGAATCCCTTGTAGTCAGGCATGATCATGTGACTCGGTCTGGCCAATGGCAAGCCAACTCCGTTTTTTGAAGCCTAAAAACTCTTATAAAATCCTAAAAATCGTGTAAAGATTTCTCAAAACATGATACTAATCACAATAAAAATTATTAAAATAATAACGTTTTAAAATAATTATTAAATTATTAAGATTATATATCTGAAGAATTATTTTAGATGATTAAAATACAATTTCTTTTTAACTGGTGTATATTAATTAAGCAGAACAGCGTGTTTCACTGTGGGCTATGCATACAACATGATTGGCTCAAAATTACAGCCCAGTTCTTCCCTTCCCTCCTCTTCCTGGCCCACGCTGATGGGCCCTTGTCCATCAGCGTCTGGGTAAGTGTCACTCAGCGTGATGATCTCTAGTTCCACCCATTTTCCTGCAAATGCCATATGCCATTCTTCTTCATGGCTGAGTAATATTCCACTGTGCATATATATATATATACCACATTTTCTTTATCCATTCATCCACTGATGGATCCCCAGGCTGGCTCCATAGTTTGGCTGCTGTGAACTGTGCTGCTCTGAACCTGGGTGTGCGTGGATCATTGCAGCGAGATGACACGGAGGAGCGGTCCAGCTGGGGTCATCTGTTGGTCCCATGCCTGGCCCTTTGAGGAACGCCCCTACTGAGTTGCGTAGTGGTTGTTGTAGTTCGCAGCCCCACCAACGGCGTAAGAGAGTTCTTTTCTCACCCCACACTCTCCGCCCTTCGTTGTTTTAGGTTTTGTTGATGAGCACCATTCTGACCCGCGTGAGAGGAGGTTTTTCAGCCTGGATTTAATGTGCATTTCCACCACTCTTTTCCTCACTCTTTTCCCTACATTCATGGGCAGCCTGCGGTCTCTCTGAGCTTGTCAATCAGAGAACACACCAGG